AGAAAAATCTTTTTCTTTTCTTTTTTTTTTATCCTCACCTGAGGACATTTTTCTATTCTTTGTTCAGGTAGAGTGGGAGGGAGAGAGAGGAACAGAGAGAGAGAAACATCGATGTGAAAGGAACACATCGAGTGGCTGCCACCCGCACAGCCGACCAGGGCCGGGGACAAACTGCAACCAAGGTATGCGCCCTTAGCGGGAACCAAACCCGGGTCTCTCAGGACCACAGGCCGACGCTCTAACCACTTAGCCAAACCGGCCAGGGCGAGAAAAATCTTGATGTGAGAGAAACACGATTGGTTGCTTCCCATACACACCCCATCCAGGGACTGAACCCGAAACTTTTTGGTATATGGCACGAGCCACCTGGCCAGAGCAGGGAGGAATATTTTCATTACCTTTTCAGGTGATTGTGGATATGTTTTTGGATGCTACATCAAAATGACAAGTGTAGTATCTTAAAAGTTAGTTATAATGTAGAATCTGAAACCATGTAAGTGAATATTTAAAATATAATTAAAATTCATTGGCCTGTTTTGCACTATTGAATGTATCTTTCACATATGCATAATTTTGTAGCATCATAATTGGTCATTTGGGAAATACTGGTTCACTAAGTTATGCAGATTTTTAAATGTTTACATATTTTGCCCAGCTGCTGTGGCTCAGTGGATTGATTGTCGTCCCATGCACCAAGAGGTCCTGGTTCAATTCCCAGTCAGGGCACATGCCTGGGTTTTGGGCTTGATCCCTGGTAGGGGGTGTGCAGGAGGTAGCCAATCAATGTATCTCTCTCACATTGATGTTCTCTCTCTCAAAAAATCAATAAAAATATATTTTAAATAAATAAATGTTGACATATCTCATTTTACCAAAAAACAAATTTACATTTGTGAATATCACCACTGATGTCATCAGAAAAGTCTTTTTTTTTTTTTTTTAATTAGTTTATTTATTTTTGTTAACAGGTGTTTCTCTTTCTTCCCCCACTGATTCCCCCCTCCCTGCCCTGTCCCCAGCTTTGTTGTCCATGTCCATTGTTCATGTATACATGTATGTAAGTTCTGTGGTTTATCTCCTCTCTACCCCCCTCCTGGGGATTGTCAGTCTGTACCCCACTTCCATGTCTCTGGGAAGAAAAGTCTTTAAGTATAAAGCCCATAGTGTTGAATGGAGGTTTTCTTAAATTTTAATTTTTTATTGAAAACTCAAATTTTTAATCATTTACAACAAATACTGAAAATTGTTTTTTTTTGAAAGGCTAACTTTTTTCCTTTTCAGAAAAGTGTGCCAAATACCTAAGTGTGAATTAACATAATTGGTGTATTAATATGATTGAGGTCAGCTATTTCTTCAGGTAAAAAAGATACTCCATCATAAAAGTGACTACTTCAGAATCATGCAAGTGCTTTTGTTCAAAACCATCATAACTCAGTGTACAACAGAAGAACTTGATGAGAACTTCATGTTTTGTCATAGAATATTAAAAAGATATGTATTGTTGAGTCAGGGTTTAATGAAAGTAATCGTTTTACTGCTTCAGCACCGATATTCTTAAGTAAAACTGGCTTTTTTCTTTCCTTCACTCATAGTAGAAAATATGACTGCTAGTAAAGTTTGGTTCCACCGCCTTGATTTGTGTTCAGGTGCCAGCAGTTTTATTCAGTTACTTTGTCAACAGAGTGAAAGAAGCAGATGTGTTGTTAGCAGTATTATAAAAATAGTTTTTACCCTCGGGCCACACTAAGGTCCATGTTTTGCAGTTGATTGATACAGCTTTTAAGTTTTTTAAATCTGTAGGCTGCTCTCTGACATTTTTTTCCTTGCAATTTACTTGTTGCAGAAACTAGTTTATCCTGGAGGGTTTCTCAGTCTGGATTGCATTGCTTTGCAGTCTGGGTCATTGCATTCATGGGCTGTGTGTTCCTGTTTTTCTTGTAATTAGCTAGTTAGATTGAGAGCCTTGATGAGATGATGGTATTGTGTTCTTTTGCAGTAATACTTCATAGGTGATACTGTATACTTCCAATAGTTGGTTGTCTTTCTCTTGTCCTCACCTGAGGACATTTTTGCATTTATCTTTCAGATAGAGTGGGAGGGAAAGAGGGAGGAAGAGAGAGAGAGAAACATGGATGTGAGAGAGACACATCGACTGGTTGCCACCCACATGACCCCGGATGGGGCCAGGGACCAACTGCAATCAGGGTACATGCCCTTAGCAGGTCTCTCTGGTCTGCGGGCCGAAGCTCTAACCACTGAGCAGCTGGCCAGGGCAGGTTGTCTCTCTCTTGATTTTAGCAGCTATTAACGATCATGACCTAAAGCCCTTAATTTTTTTTTTTTTTTGCACCCATTACGATGGCTTTATTTATTTACTTTTAAAAAAATCTTTATTGCCCTGGCCGGTTTGGCTCAGCGGTTAGAGCGTCGGCCTGCGGTCCCGAGAGACCCAGGTTCGGTTCCCACTAAGGGCATGTACCTTGGTTGCAGTTTGTCCCCGGCCCTGGTTGGTCGTGCGGGTGGCAGCCACTCGATGTGTCCCTTTCACATCGATGTTCCTCTCTCTCTCTCTTCCTCTCTCTCCCTCCCACTCTACCTGAACAATAAATGTCTTCGGGTGAGGATAAAAAAAAAAAATCTTTATTGTTGAATGTATTACAGATGTTCCTCATTTTTCCCCCACTGACCCCCTCTTCCCCACTTCTGCCCCCCTCCTGCCTTTTCCCACATGGTTGTCTGTGTCCATTGGTTATGCATATAAGTTCTTTGGTTTATTTCTTCCCACTCCCCAACCCCCCTTCCCTTTGAGGTTTGTTAGTCTAGCAACCGATTTGTACTTCTTAATCCCTTCACCTTTTTCACCCATTCCCCCAACCCCCCTCCCATCTGGCAACCAACAAAATGTTCTCTGAATCTATGAGAATGTTTCTGTTCTGCCTGTTCATTTTGTTTGTAGATTCCATTGTCAATAGATATGTATTCATTGCCATTTTGTTTTTTCATATATTTTATTTTTTTCTTCAAAAAGACCCTTCAACATTTCATATAATAATGGTTTGGTGGTGATGAATTCCTTTAGCTTTTTCTTGTCTGGGAAAGTCTTTATATGGCCATCGATTCTAAATGACAGCTTTGCAGGATAGAGTAATCTTGGTTGTAGGTTCTTGCTTTTCATCACTCTGATTATTTCTTGCCACTCCCTTCTTAAAGCCCTTAATTAAACAAGGATTACAAACTGATGAGATTCCAGTTTTATTCATTTTTCATTTATTAGCTGGAGTATTTTATAGTTGTTTCCTCAACTGGTTCCCTGCTGATATAGTTCATTTAGTAAAGGCAGGATAAATGTTTGATTCTTTCCCTTTACTTACCAGTTTATGAATTGGTTGTTAGCATCCTTCAAAGTTGACCAGTGATTTGTTTCAGTAATAACATTAGAAACGCAACTGATTTTGTTTTTGTGTATTGAATGTTAAGGAAGCCATCACCATCCACCTGTGTGGCCATCTGAACAATGCGTTTTATGTCACTTCCATGTTGGGGAAACCTGTCATTACTCACCTGTTCTTTCCGCTCCTTTTGCCAGCATGTATTTATCATTTCAGGCTTGATTGCCTGGGAGACTCATTCATGAAGAAGCTACTTTATTTAGATCAAATTTTGTTACTCATTTTTGAGTGTAGAGTTGAATTCTGGTAAGTTAATGACGATAGCATGATGAGACTGCGCTGTGCCTCATTGTATTTATGAGGAAAAGCATATGCTATACAGTCGGCCCTCGTTTATTGCAATTAATCAGTTCCATACTCTACCGCGATAAATGAATTCCCGCGAAGTAGGATTCTTTATTTATACAGTCGTCCTTCGCCACTTCGCGCTTTGACTTTTGCGGGTTCACTCTGTTGAAGCTGCGAAAGTCAAAGTGCGAAGTGGCGAGGGACGACTTCATGAGAATCTAATGTGTTTACTCTTTTTGGGGACCTTCTAATGCATATCAAATAGCTCGTAGACTTCTCCCTTCCCCGCCATGTAGAGAGAATGCTAGGACATACAAATTAGAGTCTAGTTCTCCTTTACTGATGTCATTCTTTATCTTTGCCATTAGTCAAGGTGGTGCTGATATAGAAAACAATATAAAATAATCTGTTGTTTTTCCTTAACAGTGATGGTGGCCTGCGTTTTGGAGAAATGGAGCGAGACTGTCAGATTGCCCATGGGGCAGCTCAGTTTTTAAGGGAAAGATTGTTCGAGGCATCAGATCCATATCAGGTCCATGTTTGCAACCTTTGTGGGATAATGGCCATCGCTAACACCAGGACCCACACGTATGAATGCAGGGGTTGTCGAAATAAAACCCAGGTGTGTACAGACCTTGTTGGCAGTTGATATTTGTATAGGGTATAGCCATGTTGGTCGAATCACCCAGACAGATTTAGTGTGATGGAGCAGATCGGCGTTTTCACAATTTTGAGAAAAAAAAAAATTTGATTTTTCTAAAAATTAGTTTAAATTTTACAGTGGTAATGTCTCTAAGCTGTTTATCTTTTGGAAAAGGACTTGTACAAGGAATTTTAAAAAGTGAGTTTTAAAAAAACCTTTTACTCAAGAAGGGTGAATAAAAATTATGTCTGGCAGAAAGTGTGAAACACCAAAGCCTATTAGGAGAAAGAACCACCGAAGGCCCACTTAATAGGATGAGTGTTATCAGCCTACTCGTGTGTTCATCATCACCAGCACCAGACCTTTACCTTTTTTGGGGTAGGGAAGTAGGCTCATTTCAGTACAACTTTGCTAATTACTTTTTTTTTTCTTTCAGATTTCTTTGGTGCGAATGCCCTACGCGTGCAAACTGTTGTTTCAGGAGCTTATGTCTATGAGTATTGCGCCTCGAATGATGAGTGTTTAGCTCTTTTAAAAGATTCTCAGCAAGATACTTATAAATATCTTTTGTGTCTTGGTTTTATGTTAAGGCTTTAAAAAAATAACAAATATATGCTACATTGTGAGAAAGAGCATTTTATTTGTTTTGTTTGATGATATGCATGCTTTTCTTCTGTAAATAGGTAATAAATTTTTGTAGATAGTCTTGCTGTGTTATCTTTATTTTGTATTTCATATGTAAAACCAATGACTATAACTAAGGTGTTAGTGGACTGGATGAAAAGAAACTCATTATTAGGCAAGAACAGGGTGGTAGTTATCCATGACTACTTTTAGCTGTGCAGACTGATATCTTCTTCAGGTTTATAGCTTGACACCTTCACCTGTTTTTTTAAAAAAAAGAAAAATGAATTACATATATGTATGTGGTAAACTTTCTAATTTGTGGGTAGTTTAGTGTTTCCAAGTAGATGGTGTTAAGGTGTGGGGATAAGGGATGTGAAACCACATAAATGATGATGGTGGAATGCTCCTTAGAATTTGAGCTGTGTGATTTAAGATGTAGAGGGCAATTCTGTTATACTGGTCTACGTGTAAGAGATGGACCTTAGTATAGAACTGGCAGAGCACATTTCACAAACGAGCACGTTGAGATTCAGAGAGGCTAAGGAACTTGCCTATGTCATCCAGCTCTCGTCTCGTTCAAAATTTTAAGTGGAATCATCAGTGGCAGAGCTGAGACAAACACAAGACTCTCAGCTACTGCTGAGTTTGTTTCATCGCCTGGCTTTACATATCTTGGCTGAAGAGAATCTGATCAAACATCTTTACTTGATACTTCTTCCTTTTATACCCTAGCTGAGGAATTCACACAGGAATGGTTTGACAAACGCTGATAGTAAGTTTTGTTCTTATTTTTGGTTGGAAGGAAGCCCATCCAGACATCTGTCTAGTAGAACTATATATGTGTAAAGCAGTATAATTCTGATAACACCAGGATGGGAGCATAAGAGGAGGAAGCTTTGCTAGGGGAGTGGGTAGATGCAGAACAGAGTTGGGTACTTGCCAGTATACTCTCCTGTCTGGCTTTTTCTTATAAAAGCTCAAAGTGAAGGACCTACAATCATTTCCTTTTAAGTGGGAATGGAATGTATAGTCACAAAACCAAGAGAAAATGCCATGTGGATAGATAGGAAGTTATGGGAAATATAAGCCATTCCAGTCAAGTTAGAGTTTTTGTCTCTTGGGTATAAGGTGAAAGTGCCCTGGCTGGTTTGGCTCAGCAGTTAGAGCATTGACCCGCGGACCAAAGAGTCATGCGTTCGATTCCAGTCAAGGGAATGCACCTCGTTGCGGTTAGACCCTAGCCCTGGTCGGGGTTGTGCAGGAGGCAACCAATTGATGTGTCTCTCTTACATTGATGTTTCTCTCTCTCCCCCTCCCACTCTTTCTGAAAATAAATGGAAAAATATCCTCGGGTGAGGATTAAAAACAAAAGGATGAGGTGAAAGCATCTTAGGCATAATAATAGCAGTCCATCAGCCGTCTGAACGTACTTCTGCAGTCATGTGCTCTGCTTTCTGGTTACATACTTAATGCCCTTGGGGATTCCTAACATTACAGCATTTCATTAAGAGCTGTTTGACACTTTCATACTTGGGTCTGTTCTTCATTAAGCAAAAGCAGTAGTCATTTTTAAGTGGTTGTGAGATTTAGTACCTACCTTTATTCACTGGTATTTCATGTAAGCTATCAACCACTGTAATTTTTGCTGATGATGAAGCCTGCCCTTGGGAATTGGATGCATGACACTCATATTCTCCGGCATCTTCCTTACTGAGAGGAGATAACTGTGAAGGGAAAATGATCTTTAGTGCCTCCATGGTGGTCCTCTCTTTTTCTAGTGGTTTCAATTAAGTCGTTATTTCGTAAGTTTGTTAAGGCGACCAGGCAATGCATGGCAAAGATACTGCTAGAAATAGTGCAAGTCTTGTGCTAGGAGAATTACACAGCTACCATATTTGGTCTGCTGGGAAGAGATACTCCAAGGAAATGTTATGGACAGCTTTTGGTCACACTGCAGAATTGTACATATCAGTTTGAGAAAGACCTTGATAGGGTATATGATCTAAGTACGATCTATGAGTATCCACAATTATCAAAGGTCAAGTAAAATAACATAACTATTCATCAGTAACTGAGTAAAGTAATTAATGCTTGGATCATTTCTGTGAGAATTTCACTTTGAAAAAAATTAGCTCTTGTGTATTTGTTGGTCATTTCCGAAACAGCCAATAACCTTCGGCGGTTTCTCAGTTCCCTCTGAAGGTGGAGCAGCAGCCCTGTGGCACCTCCAGCCCGGCAGTGCACCAGGCGTCTGCCAGGTCTGCTGCGTCTGATCCCAACAAGAACATCCCTGCCAGCCTTCGGTACTCACCAGCACCCAGCCAGTCACTTCATGCTTTTCTGGGCCACCTCGAGTCTGAATGGCCAGGTTGTCCCGGTCACCAGGCAAGAGTTCTATCCTATGAAATCCATTATTGTCCTTTTTTACCTGCAAAAAGGGGAAAAGAGTGTCTCTGCATCCTTTGCACTGAATCATGAACTTATAAGTGGCCACATTTCTCTAACTGCACAAGGGGTGCATCAGGCTTTTTAATTATATTAAACTAGCAATTTTCATATTACCTTTTCCCGAATGCTTACATAAAATATAGACCCTCTTATTTCTTCCTGTCGGTTTCCCTCTTTATCTTTTAAATTATATAACCTTATATATTTTAAGTTAGTGTATTTTTATGCATGCTTGGGGAATACATGCCATACTCTCCTGCCACTGGCTACCATCATTTGCTTGTGCCTTGTAAATTCTGCTTCTTAGTGCCGGGCCTTTTCCTGCTTGCCAGGACACATCTGAGGCCGACAAACTGTCACCCAGTGCTGGGTAGGTTTGAGGCTCGGGATCTGCAGTGGAAGCTCAGGTCCAAGGGTCCCTCCTGCAACAGCCTCATCAATGAAAAATAGTAGGTGGATTCCAAAGCCAATACCATCCTTTGCTCTGAGGGCTATGGGTTCATCAAATATTTACTAAATTCTAGAGAACATGCCTCTGTCATTGTTCTCTTAAGACAAAACTTGCTGCCTATCCCTGTGCGTCTCATGATGAGATTCAGGATGGGTTAAGAAGAAATTCAGTTTCCTTGGTTTGAGGCCAGTGGTGAACACTGTTCTATCTTTCCCCCTCATTTAAAAAAGGCAAACTATGTTCATTATGTAGACTTTGGAAAATATACAAACATTCACAGAAGAATAAAATTGACCTGTAACCGCCTACCCTTTATTTTCTCTGCCTCGTGATGCCAGGGTGGGACTCTGAACCCAGGGTCTAGGCCAACTCCTACTCTGTAAAAAATATCTAGCATTACTGGTTTGGGATGCCTGGGTTTTGTTAGTTTGCTTTTCCTCCTAGGACTTCCCCGCGTTGTCACCATTTGTGAGAGAGAACCAGGTATCTTAGTGTTTTTTCTCCTATGAATGTTATGAAACAAAACAGCTATTCTCCATAAGCATCTTTTTCCTTCAGTTTCCCAAATTGCTGGCAGAAATGGTTTATGCTACTGCTGATTTTGAAATAGTTATTTAAAAATGGTTTTTAATAATGGCGTAAATATTAATTTGATTCAACGGCTAAAGTAGTACGTCTTTGGTCTTTATTTACTGAATTCAGGATTCTTTAGGGGTTTTGTGTGAACAATGTAGAGGAGCACTGTGGCACAGAGAACAGAGTCTAAGCAACTGAGGAGTTACTCCGCAGATCACGCCAATGAACTGAATCCACTGTGTACAGAGAAGCTGTTCTTGTCAAGTATTTGATTGGAAAACGAATACTTATATTTAACAGAACTCATATTTTAATATATTGTAAAAGGTTAATACAACATGTAAACAATATAAAAAGTGTTAATTTTTACATGGCAAACAGCCCCTTGTGTAAGGGGAGTTTTGTTGTTGATGAATGTGTGTTTTCCAGTTGATTTTCTTGAACAAGAGGAAGGTTGCGAAAAGAGACTTCCATGACAATTGTGCACATATGCAGTGGGCTGGGAGAGCCTCAAAGTCTGAACTGGAGAAATCTGTAGTGCAGAAAAAGCTGCATAGTAGTCACTGCTCACCAAAAAGGGCCAGTTAGGGAGAGTCAAAGGGAGACCCAGGACGTCATTTCAGCCCCCCCCCCCCCGCCCCCGAGCTGCAACAAAATCTTGCTGTTGCAGATAAACAATAAGAAAAAGAAGACTGCCCCAAACAAGGCTGGAAAACTGGGCAGCCTCCTGCAAAAAAATTAAACTGGACCACTATACTATACCATACACAAATATACTTCACACCATGCACCAAAATGAACTGAAAATGGGATAAAGACTTAATGTATAATCTGAAACCAAAAGACTCCTAGAAGAAAATAGGCAGTAAGCTCCTTGACACCGGTCTTGGTGATTTTTGGATTTGACACAGCATAGGCGACAGTAACAAAAATAAACAGGAGACTACATCAAATAAGTTTCTGCACAGCAAAGACAACCATCAACAAAACGAAAAAGCAATTTACTAAATGAGAGAATTTGCAAATCATGTATCTGACAAGGAGTTAGTATCCAAAATATATAAAGAACTACAACTCAATAACAAAAATTGGGTTAAAAATGGACAGGATGCAGAGAAAAGGGAACCCTTGTGCACTGTTGGTGGGAATGTAAATTGGTGCAGCTACTATGGAAAACAGTAATAAAGGCTCCTCAAGAAATTTAAAATGGAACTGGTATATAATCTAGCAGTCCCACTTCCGGGTACTTACTTGAAAGAAACAAAATCACTATCTTGAAAAGATATCTGCACACTCATATTCATTGCAGCATTATTTATAATAGCCAAGATGTGAAAATAACCTAAGTGTCAACTAACAGATGAATGGATGAAGAAAGTGTGGTATAAATATATACAGGAATATTATTTAGCCATAAAAAGAAGAAAATCTTGCCATTTGCAACAAGATGGATGGACCTTAAGTAAAATAAGTCAGACAGAGAAACACAAATACTGTATGATTTCATTATATGTAGAATCTAAAGAAGAAGAATAACCCAGCTGGCTGGTGTGGCTCACTTGTTGAGTGTCGACCCATGCACCAGGAGGTCACCGGTTCGATTCCCAGTCAGGGCACATGCCCAGGTTGTGGGCCAAATCCCCAGTGGGGGGCATGCAGGAGGTGGCCAGTCAATGTTCTCTCTCACTGATGTTTCTATCTCTCTCTCCCTTTCCCTTTCTCTTTCTCTAGAATCAATAAAGAAAATAAAAAGAACTCTCCCCCCACCCCCAAGCTCATAGATACAGAGAACAGATTGGTAGTTGCCACAGGTGAGGGTTAGGGGGTGAAGAAATGAAGGGGGTCAAGAGGTACAAACTTTCACTTATAAATAGTAATGGGGATGTAATGGATAGCATGTGACTGTAAATATATATTGCATGTTTGAAAGTTGCTAAGAAAGATCCTAAAAGTTCTCATCGCAAATTTAAAAAAATTTAAAGTGCCAAAGATTACAGAAGCTGGATAGATTAGTCTGATTCCTACAGGTTAATACATTTCAAAGGTTTACTGAATTTCATGGAAACTTTTTTTTTTTTTAATCCTCACCCGAGGACATTTTTGCATTTATCTTCAGATAGAGCGGGAGGGAGAGAGGGAGGGGGAGAGAGGGAGAAACATCAATGTGAGAGAGACACATCGACTGGTTGCCACCCACACGACCCCAGCTAGGGTGAGGGACAAACTGTGACTGAGGTACATGTCCTTAGAGGAAGCCGAACCCGGGACTCTCTGGTCCGCAGGCGGATGCTCTAACCGCTGAGCCACACTGGCCAGGGCTCATGGAACCTTTAAAGGACATTTATGCAGCCCAGATTGCTGTGCCTTTTTTGTAAAGTTTCAGAAGAGTTTAGTTTTTTAAAATTTTTATTGATTTGAGAGAGAGAGGAAGGAAGAGGGAGAGAGAGAGAGAAATATCGATGAGAGAGAACATCGATTGGCCACTTCCTGCATGCCCCCCACTGGGGATCAGGCCCACAACCTGGGCACATGCCCTGACTGGAAACTGAACCAGTGACATCTTGGTGCACGGATCAACACTCAACCATTGAGCCACATCGGCTGGGCAAAAGGGTCTATATTTTTAATATACAAAAAGCTACAGACTGATAATAACAAAAACAATCCAATAGAAAAATGAATAAAGGATATGAATAGGTAATTTATACAAGAGAAAGTCAAAATATGAAAATATTTTCAATGTCTAGAAATAAAAACAATAATGTGATGATACGTTTACCCATCATTAACAAAAACTAAAAAGAGGGGTAATACTCTGCTGGAGAGGATGCAGGGACATGGCCCCATACCTGCTATAATCACATGGAAAGTAATCCGACAACGTCTATTAAAACCAAAATCTTTTGACCTGTTCATGGCACTTTTGAGAAAATCTATCCCATAGGGACAAAGCACTTGTACCTAGGATGTGTATACTCGGATGTCTAGGGTAGCATTGTTTAAATAATATGGTACACTCATACTTGGAACATTACATTGTTATTGAGCAGACCTGGAGGAATGCCCACGAAGTATTTGTCTAGAAAAACAAGTTTCAGAGTAATATGGACACTATATTCTCACCTCACTTGGCATACGGGGGATATGTATTTGTACATGTTTGGGCATATAAAAGGGTGTGAGAGATACATACCAGGGCAATTCACATAGGTTATTTCAGGGAGCAGGAGGTAGGGGGAAATGATAAATTCTTTCTTTATACATCTCTGGATAGTTTCTTCTTACTATCATTACAAGTTACTATTTGTAATTATTTTTTAAAAAGGGATATTCTTAGAAACTGTGAAAGCCCAAATCTGAAGGAATGTTCGGGCAGAAAAAAAAAAAACTGAATCAGGAGCCTCTCCGTTTCAGAAACATCCAAGTGTTTGGAAGGAAGGGATTCTGGGTGTTTTACCTTCCCTGAAAGCATTACTTCAGACTTAGAATGAAGGTAAATATGGCTATTTCAGTTCATTCCCTATTTCAAATATTGCCCTTGGAATCTTTACAGGCCAGAAGTTTGCTGGAAAAGTGTGGGATTTGTTAACATTATGCGGTAATTACTGGTCAGGAAAGCACAGACCACTAACCAGGCTGTGACCACCACGGAAGTGCTGCTGAGAATCCTTGGGCACGAAAGACATACGTACCACCTTTGTTGAATCTCAATTTAACAAATGAGCATCCCAATACTTATACCCGGAAAGCAGTTCTATACTTAAAGTGGAATTGGACCACGTGTGGAAAAAAAAAAAAAGGTCTGAATTCTTAACAGTTTGGTTACAAGGTCAGTGGGGAGAAAACAAATGTCCTGTTTAATTATTTAAGTGTTTTGACATGGCCCAGAGTAAGGAATACATTTTGCATTGTGATGTGGAATATACGAAAGGAAAGTTTTAGGAAATGATACCCTTACTAAATGTGACAGGGGGAGGGGGAGGGGAGACATCGACGTGAAAGGGACACATGGCGTGGCTGCCACCCACACGACCAACCAGGGCCGGGGACAAACCGCAACCGAGGCACGTGCCCTTAGCGGGAACCGAACCCGGGTCTCTCCAGACCGCAGGCCGACGCTCTAACCGCTGAGCCAAGCCGGCCAGGGTGCCTGTCTTCTGTTTTAGAAGAAAATGCAGGTTGTGTTCCCTGATTTCAGGACTCGCTGATGGGTCCTGCCTGACCTGGAGGTTGACAGAACTGCTTTATGTCACGCACGCGGCAAATCGCACTATGAAGGCGGAGGAAAATCAGCAGAGCCCAGCAGCTGGGTTTTTGTTTGCTTCTGGAAAGTCTGTAGTAAATGATTTTTCCTGTCCCCCAACTCCTTTCCTTCACGCCCACTCTCCATTTGACAAGCCCCAGGGAAGCCCTCGGGCTCTGCCCCACACAATGCCAGACACCTGAAGGAAAGGTGCCCAGGCAGTACACTCCCCTGGTTCGTGTGTTACTGTCTGGGGAGGGCAGCCGCGGCCGAAGTCCTCTGCCAGATTCCTCAAGGTCACACGCCCCGGACACTTGGGACCCTGGCCTGTCACTGTGTAGTCCCCAGGGCGCTGCACAGTTCTGGAGGGACGTTCTTTGGCATTGCCGTTCCTCGGCCCCTCACCCACCCCACCCAGCGAACCGGTGCAGTAGCCGCCAAACAAGCAGGGAGGAGCGTCAGCAGCTTTCCAGGGGGCGCACGCCCACCGGTGCCTTTTTGCTCGTCTTTGCTCCCCGCTCCCCTTTAAAAAAACAACTTCCTGAAGTGAAATTTCACTGTGTCCTTTAACAGAAACTTCAGCCTTAAAGGATGGTTGTAGTACAGTTGGTGCGGTCTCTGCCCACCCCCCACCAGCATTTTCTGGAAGAAACCTGACTTCACTCCAACCCGAGGACCCCATGGGCGATGCAGCCCTCTGGCCACATGAGGGCGCCAGAGGTTGGCAGGTGACCAACGTGCACCTCGGTCGTCCGGTGGGAATTTTACACCGCAGTAAAGAGGGGAAAGAAATTCCCTCTGGGTCACTGAGCTGGCTGGTAATGTGAACTTGGGGCTGCCAGTGACAACAGCGCCGATAGTGTGGACGAAGCTTCCTGAGGTGGAAATGAAAAACAAGACCAGTGTATTGAGAGCAGAGTCGAGAGCAAAGAGCCAGGGCATAGTGTACCTGAACCCAGCACCCCTTGAGGTTGGAATCACCGCCCACTTCACCCCACCCCATCCCTCATTTGTTTTGTTTGCTTGAACTAGTTTGAAGTGAGTTTCTACAACTTGCAACAACAAGAGTTCTGGTGCCAAAACCCCTCCCAGAGTTCCAGCAGCTGCTCCTCTGCTCAGACACCGAGCAAACAAGACAATCCAGAGACCACCCTCCGTCGTGGAGCTTCGGGGAGAAGCAACCCTGCCGGGAAGAGGTGTCTGGCTGTGCCTTTTCACTGCAATAGATGTCCTCTTCGTTAGCACAGTCTGATGGTAATTATGCAACAGGATTGTTGTGTCGGGTGCTTCAACGAGTCAAAACATATAAAAAGGGAAATATAAAATACCGTACAGTACAGTTGTTAAGTATTAGTTAACCTGGCAAATGCCTTCCCTTGTACAGACGTGCTGAGCACGTGTCCTTCAATCTGGAGATGGGTATACAAGACAATGCCACGTGACATGTTTGTCACAACTGAGGGGGCGGGTGCTACTGGCATCTAGTGGGTAGAGGCCAGGGATGCTGCTACACATCTTACAAGGCACAGGGCATCCCCCACACAGAATTATCTGCTTCAAAATGTCAACAGTGCTGAGGCTAAGAAACCTTGGCTTAGAGAGACCTCTGCCAACCTGGCTAAGGAACTCAATTCTTATCCCCCAAGGGGGACACACACACACCCCCTACACACACATGCACACACTCACACTGAGGCACATGCATGCTCAAACATGCACACGTGGGCACACACTCAGAGGGTGGGTTTGGATGCTCAGCATCATAGTTTTCCAGCTGCTAAGGCTGCCTGCTCTAGCAAAAGCTGAGCAGGGGCTATTTGGAGGTCAGTAAAAACACTGGCTAGATCCCAGGGATGCGCGACTGGAAGACAGCCATAGGCTTCCCCTTTGAGGAGCAGCAGGGAACGGAACAGGCTAAGGATTTTAGGTTAGCGCTGTCCGCGTGCAGTGAGAGAGGAGCTTGTTAGTCTAGGATGTCCTCCTGAAATCTGTGTCACTGACCTTGTTCCAGATGAGGACAGGGGTTGGGATTCCGATGACCTCACAGCTCAAGTACACCTTGGCACCAGTGACGTTCCAGATGTTCTTGGGGGGCGTCACAATGGAAGGACCTACAAGAGAGGCACAAAGACAAACGTATTTTTAAAAACAGTCTTTAGCGCCAGTCAGCATGCTAGGAAATAGATACTTGGTTATGTTTATGAGGCTGTCCCATCTGTCAATTATCTGAAGCAAATTTCAAAGACCAGACTGGCATCCCCCCTCCCACCCGAGGATATGCTTCCATTTATCTTCAGATAGGGAAGGAGGGAGGGAGGGAGGGAGGGAGGGGGAGAGAGAGAGAGAGAGAGAGAGAGAAAGAGAAAGATCGATGTGAGAGAGACACATAGACTGGTTGCCTCTGGCAGGACCCTGACCAGGGCGGGGACCAAACTGCAACTGAGGTTGCAGTTCTGGTCAACGTCCCCTTGACCAGAATCGAACCCACATCTCTTTGGTCCACGGGCCAACACTCTAACCACTGAGCCAAACCAGCTAGGGCATTAAGCTTTGCTTTGATGCAAACATCTAGACAAAAACAAAAATAATTAGGAAGAAAAATGTATTGTTTATAAGATTTTCCTCTCTCTCCAATAATGATTAAATGAATCTGAATTTGCCAGCTGTTTTGCATTACCTGGGTCTTTCCAATTAATATAGTGAAAATTTAGCTCCAAAATGTTTTCCTTTTTTGTTTACCAGTATTTTTATTTGGGAGAGGGTGGCAACATACACCACTCCTTGGGGAACGAACAAAATAAATATAAGAAGACACTGGAAAATGTGCTGAGTTTCCTGAGAAGACAGTAGTTCCTGCCCTAGGAAGCTTGGGATCTGAGGTTGACAAGTCAGTGGTGATAATGCGGAGATGGTGACTTTCATCAAAGAGACCAGTGTGAAGTGCTGTGTGCCCTGGGAGATGAGAAAGAGACACCTTTGAACCGAAGTGGCCTGGGTGTCAAGGAAGAAGGTGGAAGGGTCTTTCTTCCCAGCACAGGTTGGGGGAGAAAGTGGGTAAGAGAGAGGCAGCCACAGGTCTACTGTGACTAGGGTCCCCAAGGAGAGGGCTCTTTCTAGGATTCTCAGTGTCCAGGTCCCTGGCAGTGGGCATTGGCAAGTGGGGGCACCTGTCAAAGCATTGTCTGAATACAGTCACCAGTGTGGGACCACCCAGGGAGAGCCCAGAGTGACACCTCCCTGTCCCCTCAGTCCTGTTACACATCCCTCCAGTAAGAAGGCCCTCGGCACCATCATCAGTGGAACGCATCCTTTTTGTTACAAAAGAGGCCCTGGGGTTGGCAAACGCTGGCCTGTGGGCCCAATCTGGCCTTCTACTTGTTCCTGCATGGCTTATGAGTGGTGAAAGAAAATTAAAAGAATATTTCATAATGTGAAAACTTTAAGAAATTCACATTTCAATGTCCATGAAATAGAATTTTATTGGAACACAGCCATGCCCAGAGTGGAGCATGAAATAGCTGCCATTTGACTCTACACAGAAGTGCTGATCTCTGTCACCGAGAGGCAACCTTACCGAGATAAGACATTACGGGAAAGTCTCAGGACTTCAATATGTCACACGTTGCCCAGAGCAGATGCAAGTAAACCCAGTGGATGACTTCTGGTCCAGCTCGAAAATGCAACACGTTTTTAATTTTTAAACTTTTAAATTAATTTTAGAGAGGAAGGAGGACAGAGAGGGATTTGTTGGTCCACTTATTTATGCATTCATTGGTTGATTCTAGTACGTGCCCGAACCAGGGGTTGAACCCACAACCTTGAGTATCAGGATGATGCTCTAACCAACGGAGCTACCCAGCCAGGGTGAACTGCAACACTTTTGAAGCCAACAGATACTGAAAGATCTGTGCTTGCTTCCTGTTCTCTTCTGCTGAGGTGCTAGCTCCCCATCATCTGCAGCAGAAGAGACGTGCACACCAACTTTTCAACAGGTGGAGATCAGAAGTTGACTTCTGTAATTCTGAATGCCAGGTTGCAGGCACCAGGGGCCTTCAGAGAGACCAGGGACAGTGCACGGAGGAGGGGAGCGGAGCTGGGAGCTGGGCTCCCGGGCTGACAGTGCACTGCTCCAGAACCAAACCTGGCCTGTACTCAGGCTCAGCGCTGTTTCTTGAATGAATGAGTTAAGAATTCCCTCTGAATGTCAGCTCTCTGCTGCCTTGGGCCTTCCAGGCGAATGTCTAAGAGCCTGGGAAAGGGACAACCTCCCCTTAGGCCTGGAAAATTTTCTGGCATGATCAGCATTCAAGGAACACGCAGTCTCCCTTTTGCAATAGGCTATTTCCAGCACACCATTAATATCTTGAAACAGAAAGGAAATGATCCCAGCATGTAACATTTTTCCCACTCATCTGAAGTATTAGAAGCTGATTTAAAAAAAAAATCCCCGGGGCATTTACTTTTTTTCCCCTTTGCAAGAATGTGCAAAACAATCAAAGTTTTGAAAGGTTTAAATATATTTCATGTTTCCTTCCCTCTACACCACGGGCAGAAAGAGGAAGCCTCTCTCTTGGCCAGGAGTCTTGGCTTTTCGGTTGCAAACGTTGATGAGCTGAGCATGGTGGTGCTATGTTTCTGTGTTTCTGGCTCTGTCTCCGACGCTTCCTAGTCAGACTGCCCCAACACAGGACCCTGAAAAGGGCTGCCTGGGCCTCAGCCCATCCCAGGCTTCCTCCGGGGCCCTGGGATCACAAGGGCTTGGACACCACAGAACCGGATCTGGCTGGACTTTGAACTACTTTTGCTCACCTCTGAGGGCCCCCACGTGGCTTTGTCCTCCTTCCCACACACAGACTTAGTAGGATGACATCAAAGCTCAGGGGATCTCAAGGGACTGTTCCAGGAAGAACACGCCAGTGCTCAGAGATTTGGAGGGCTCAGAACAAAGCTGTCTTTCACATATCAAAAGCACACAAGGAATGTAAGGCGTTTTCACTGTGAGGTCTCAGCCTCGCAACAAAGCACTGAGTTTATCCTGCATCCATCGCCCCATAGTCAGCAGGTGCATCACCCGTCTGGGTCAGGGCCGATTCTGGGAGCATAGGGAAGAAGTTCTGCCGGACTTCCTGTCAGGACACGGTATGGACTCTTCCCCTGGTATAATTTAAAAACTAAGATAGTCTTAGTTTTAATGCAGTCCAACTTATCAAGTTTTTCTTTTAAGATCAGTGCATTTTGTGTCCTGTGAAAGGAATTTTTGCTTAGCCCAAGTCCGTAAAGATCTGTCTCCTTCTGTAAGCTGTATGGTTTCACCTTTCACATTTAGGTGTGTGGTTCATGTTTTTTTCTTTTCTTTTAAAACTTATCTTTATTATTGAATGAATTACAGATGTCCCTCCCCCCCCTCCTGGACCCCCTCCTCCCCATTCCCGTCCCCTCCTGCCTTCCCCACACCACTGTCGGTGTCTGTTGGTTATGCATATACATTCTTTGGTTTCTCTCTTCCCACCCCACCTCGCCCCCTTCCCCTTGAGGTTTGTCATTCTAACAACCAATTTGTACTTCTTAATCCCTTCATCTTTTTCACCCACACCCCCAACCCCCTTCCCTGTGGTCCATCTTGAATTAATTTTTGTGTATGCTATGAAGTAGAGGTTAGAGTTCCCCCACTTCCCCCAAAGGACATCTGATTGTCTTGGCGTTATTTGTTGAAAAGACCATCCTTTTCCCAGTGAATCATAATGGCGATTTGTGGTGAACCCACTAAGCATACATGTGTGAGTCTACTCTGGATTCTCGGTTTTGTTCCTTTGGTCTGTGTGCCTGTCCTTGTGCCAATAACCAGAGCATAATTTAGAATTAACTGTATCTAAACTAAAGCACTGAATAGAGGGCAGATCCATTCTATCCATCTCCCTCCAATCCTCTCCTTATTTCAGAAAGCAGATCAATTAAGGAGGAGCAAGAATTCTTTTAAAACATTTGAACCCAGGAATATTTTCCACGAGAGCCACCACTGAGCGTTCAAGATAAGGACAAATTATATTGTGGGTTCTGAACTCCTTCTGTCTCCCAGCCCTTGGGATGCATATGACACTTTAGTTTAATGAGCTGACTCAGTATCTGGACCGTTCTAAAAACGTAAGTGATTTTGTCAATTCTGCTACTAGGCTATCCCTAGAATTCTACAAGATTTCCAAACAACAAAAATCTGTAGTAGTCACTGACTCCTGTTGAGTTGATGGGGTGGAGGGGACGAGGAGGGACCATTAGGACCAGTTTGCTGCACAACATTTATAAAAACCCTTAGTTATTTCAAAAGTCCTTGAACAATTGTTGGATTCAGTAACATCATGAAAACTAATAAACAATATCTAAACTAGAAAGTGCCAACTTCTGATGTATAGTCTCTTACAAAGGAAAGTCAGAGCAATGATTAGACTAATGTTCAAGTGATCAACCGACCTCCTAGAGTAGATGGAGGCGGACTGGCTTCGACCTGACTTCCCGGGTGGGAAGAATCCATAGGTTTCAGGTTCTTCTTGCTTCCTTTGTTCAGTGCTGGTACCCACAGGCTCATCTACTTACTAAACTCTGCCTGGTTCTTTGCCACTCGTCTGAAAATTGGAAATTCCCTCAGACAATGAAGAAAGACTGGAGACTTTCTTGATAAAAGCATGAAACAGCAGCATTACAGAAAGATGAGTGACAACACCGGTGAGATAGAGTAAGGAAGTGACTAAGAGTGGTCCTCAGAGACAGCAAGTAGACAGTCTTGTATGAAAGCAAAGGGATGGCAAAAATATTTAGGGCTAATGCGACGGCAGATCCAATGACACTTCACTCCCCGCCCCGCTCTAAGGACCCAGCACCCCACATATTCCACCGATAAGCAATTTCACTGCACAGAAGCGCAGTGAAACTCAGTTCCTGAAGGGTCTGTTCTATGTAAGGAGAGTGCTCAGTGGAAGGACTCTTTACCAAATGACTAACTCCTTCCACTCTGCCTTCTTTCCAAGAATGCCAAAGCAGATCCAGAATTTATTTCTGTTTTGAAGAAAAAAGGACCTTCAGTTCATTCTGAGCTCATTTTCAGGCAGAAAGCTCAAAA